ATATAAACCAATTTTTTCATACTAAAAGATTTTTTGTTGGTTCTCAGTATTCTCCTCCTATCGTTTCTAAGAAAGCATCACAAATTCCAAAATAAAGTATTTATCATTAATAGTCGATACCTTCGATCCGAACTTTTGCTATTTCTCAGCTTAAAATCTATACCTTCAGTGTCTGGATCTTTATTATCACTTTTTAAGAATATATATATTTAAAATTCCTCGCTTCATCAGAATATTGTTTCGAATGTCAACAATAAAAATATTTTACCATTTGTAATACACTAGGAAAATATAATTTTAATTATAATGTATTTTAGTAAATCATTATTCCTATACAGTTGAATAAGAAAGAATTTCATTTTTAATTTTAAAATTACACAGCTCCTTCTCTTCCAATATAAAAAAAAGTTTCAAATACAGTAAAGCCTGTTTTTGTGCGGTAGATCGGGATCACATAAAAAGAAACCACACAAAAAATATTCGAAAATATTTCATAAATACTTACATATAACAAACAACTTTGTCGACATACTACGGAAATTGTTTTTATGCGGTGGAGAGAGACCCCATAAAAGTTGTTTGTAAACGTCACGATAACCAGATATGCATGATCAAAGCTCTTTTGAGAATTTCAAACTTCAAACTGAATTGGTATCTATTTTAAGAAAATGCTTTTCCGATTTGTTGGAAAGCTGGATCTCTGCATATATTTTATCCACTCTTTAAAAATCCGGTTCTTCTTGCGCCTCTTCCTTATATATCAAATTATTGATAATGTTACTATGATGGATAGTTTCATCTTAAATCAAGCGAGTGCTGCTAGGGCGTTGAAGGGAAGCAATTGAACGATCATTGTCGGGAGACTGTTTATAACCAATGAACAGAGTATCTAAAGGGTGTTTTTTTGAGAGGTGTAGAACTTTAAATTGCAATAAAACAACGATGTATTATTCGATTCACATGAATTTTTTTTATTCGAAAGATAATCTTGTGGCATTACATTTTAAATATGATTTCTGGCATAGGACTGCCACGGCTGGCTCCGATGTAGTCCAATCTGGACGTCCGATTTTCGATGACTTTTTCAAACATTTGTGGCCGTATATCGGCAATAACACGGCGAATGTTGTCTTCCAAATGGTCAAGAGTTTGTGGCTTATCTGCATAGACCAATGACTTTACATAGCCCCACAGAAAATAGTCTAGCGGTGTTAAATCACAAGATCTTGGAGGCCAATTCACAGGTCCAAAACGTGAAATTAGGCGGTCACCAAACGTGTCTTTCAATAAATCGATTGTGGCACGAGCTGTGTGACATGTTGCGCCGTCTCGTTGGAACCCCAGCTCCTGGACATCATGATTGTTCAATTCAGGAATGAAAAAGTTAGTAATCATGGCTCTATAGCGATCACCATTTTCTGTAACGTTGTGGCCTTCATCGTTTTTGAAGAAGGATTCCACCAGCCCATAAAGCGCACCAAACAGTCAGTTTTTCTGGATGCAACGGTGTTTCGACATACACTTGTGGATTAGCTTCACTCCAAATGCGGCAGTTTTGTTTGTTGACGTATCCATTCAACCAGAAGTGCGCTTCATCGCTAAACAAAATTCGCTTATGAAAATCGGAAACAACGGCAATCTCGTTTTGGGCCCATTCGACGAATCTACTCCTTGCTTGATGATCGGTTTGATGAATTGCCAAACCAAACTGAGAATAAATCACTTGACAGCTGTTAAATCGGTCGCCATCTTGGAAAGTAATGCCAACTTAAACTTCTATACCTGGAAAAAAAGCATTCTTTAGAAGTTATATATGAACATTGATAGAAAACATTACAGTGACGCCAAAGCCGTTGAAATTCCTATACCGTATAAAAAAGATCGCAGAAAATAAATTGCACAAAAATAAAATCGCATAAAAAAGGTTTTACTGTACTGTAATGTCTAAATATTATATGAAGGCAAAATATGAATAAATCAAAAAGTATTATTTTCCTACTTTGATGGTTGAATGAATGTTAATAAACATAAAAAAGTACAATAAATATTTTTATTTGAAATAAAATTTGGAAATGAGAGGAATGACAATAATGAAAGAGAAAGTGAATGAAAAAATAAAATAGAGGTTTTTTTTCCTCATTATACTTTTAAAAATGCGTGAGTTAGTTTTGCATTCAATTCTTAAGGATTAATTAAGGATGGAACCTTTGTTGAAAGATGAAATCATCAGCTATGAACAATACAAATCTAACCCTTTTTCGAAGGACAGGAGAAAAATCTCTGGAAAAAAGCACTAATTAATTTATTTTTAAAATAACAAAATATTTTAGAAAAACTAAAATACTCCAGATCATAATTTTGATGAAGAACTTATCCTTCCCATTTCATAGTGTTGGGTACCAATCACTGGTACCAATTTGGTACCAATCATTGGTACCAATTTTTATTGCAATTTCATTGCAATAAAAATTGTATCCACAAATGTTTGAAATGGTTATGACATTTTATTTTACTTATAAGGATATTGAATAAGTTTTTAAGATGGGGTAGGCAAGACTCTAAAGTAAGGGTGGACAGACTTTTACATGGCACGGACTACTTTTAATTTTTTCAAGGTGTTGCAGTCCACTTTGTGACGCAGGTGTGATGAGCGAAAAAAAACAACTCAACAATGTTTAGATTTTAACAACGATAAATGTAGGATTTTAAAACTACTTTTTAAGTAAAACGCAAAATACAAATATAATAACTATACCCATAAATTTAATATCAAATGATGCATTTTCAAACAATTCACAATACATCAAAAAATAAATAATTTTCACTTAAAATTAGTTCTCGTGGCTATAGTCTCATAGAAGACATAGACTTCCTATTATCCGCCCCCCAAATCTTGAATACCTCGGTTTATAAATACTAACTGCTAATCTTACACTGGTGGTTGTCTGTGAAATGGGAATGATATGTTTTCTTAATTATATATATTCTTCGTTCAAAATAGAGATTCACACAGATAGGTAGAGCGAAAGAACGATGTTGAATGAACTGCAGCTTTTTTAAAATTGGGATACTTTACTTCGACCAATAGATTCCAAAAGTTATTCTTTACAAATTATGTCCTTTTGAAGGAGAAAAAAAAGCTTGATTTCCTTCGAGAACATGAAACACATTTTTAGTAATATTCTTCACATCAACATTGCCAAATGGGTAACCCATGAATGTAACTTTTGATTCTAGTCTATAAATTCTTGAGTGAGTGAGTGAATATTAACGTCGCACTATTCAGCTACACGAGGGCTTTTGGCGACGGACCACGTAATTTCGAACCATGGTCAAGTGACGTGGACGACGCCTGAGCTAGCACCCCCTTCTCCTAACTACCACACCACACCATCGGGAGGACGTTTCAGCTCTCGACAGATTTAACGTGCATCGCTGCCCTACACGGAGGGTCTTTGGTGGTACTGGGGTCGAACTCATGACATGCCTGTAAGTGTCTGGTATGTGTGTGTGGAAAGAGTTTGAAAAATTACCGTGTTTACTCGAATCTATATAAGCAGTACTTTTTTTTCAATATTAATGCAACTGAAAATCGAATGCGGCGTAGAATCGAAGGGAAAAAAATTCGTTGGATGAGGCAATTAGAGCAATTACAAATTCATGTATTTAAAAGCTTATAACACTGGTAAAATAACTAATTATTCAATTATTAGTTCTCATTTTAAAATCATTTTAATTTTATAAAACTGGATATCGCGTTAAACCACTTTACACTATTTTTCATTCTTCATAAAAACTTATCGAGAATTTGCGAAGCGGCTTAGATTCGAGTAACTACGGTAATTTGATTTCATCGTGCTACCTGTTTTTGGCGTGATTTTGAAATCATGCCAAACAGGCTGTTGTAATGATGTATATTGTAAAATTATTGCCCCAATTTGACGAAATTTACAACTATTGGCAGTATGATATCATGGTACCCAGTATGATACGTGTACATGATTTTATAATAATATGAATATTGTATTAATAGTAAATGCATTATATGTAGTATTTTTTATATTTTTAGGCATGGAATCTTTCACAGAGATGTCAAGCCGGAAAATTTGCTCATTAGGGTAAATAAAAACATATTTTATTCGTTTGAGTAAATATGAAGCAATATATCAACAAATTATAGTAAAATTCAACAATTAAAATTTTAGTTTTTGCTTTATGAATTAATTCCCCTGTGCTAGTAATAAATAGTGAGTTTTTCTTTTTGAAAAGTAGAAAGATTATATAATATATTTCAATTTCTCTAATATATAAATTTCATGAAATAAATTATAATTTTTTTTTTTAAATCTAAAATTTAAAAGTAAATGTGTACATTTCTGTTTTCTTACAAAGATTGAACTCAAAGAAATCAGTGATCAGTTTTATTGTTTCATGCTTATTGATGGAACAATTCTCATTAAAACAAATAGAAATAGAAGTGCCAAATATAAAACAAAAATTAGACGCCAATTTGATACAACCTAATGATTTAAAATAAAGGAAAGCGAGTTTGGTGCATATAAAAAAGCATCATTAAAATAAGGGTTTACACACATTTTGATGACTTAAAAGTGCTGTGTTTGTTAAGATATTTGAATTCTATTCTTAAATTGTTTCATCCCGTAATAAAAATGTATTTATCCTGTTATTAGCAAGCAAACCACAATTGTATTTTTCAATTCCTACTATATATATATATATATATATATATATATATATATATTATCACACTTTCACTCTCTCTCTCTATATATATCTAGTTTAAATTTTCAATCCTTAATAAAATACCTTTATTTATCCACTCAAGTTCAAATACATTTTTTTAAAACTTGTAGTGGATGATGATGTTAATACTGTGTTTTCAAATATTAATTCACTCATTCCATTTAATTAATGAATAAATAGTAATAAACAAAAATAATAGTCCAACACCCTATATAAAAAGGAAAACCGCTCGGTGTGTTCCAGTAGCGCAATGGATAGCGCATTGGACTTCTAATCCAAGGGTCGTGAGTTCGAATTCCACCTGGGATGGCCTAATTTCTGAGAAGGTGCTTTCTTTTTACTGTAGTATTTTATTGGAATAAAATTTAATTAATGAATAAATAGTAACAAACGAAAATAATAGTCCAATACCGTACATAGAAAGGAAAATGGAAAATTGCAAGTAAAATCGCTTTATATTTTGCCTCTTAATATTGTGATTATGTTATATGTATATACATATTAATATTAATTGTAATTATTTAATAAAAAGTAACTAAAATAAAAAAAATTTCTTTGTTGACCTAAGTAGGAACTGACTTAATTTTTTTTACATTATTTATTTATTTGATGACAACTTATTTAAATTCTCTCTTTTTTTGCTTGATTAAATTTTTTATTTAAGAGGTAATACAATGATATATTCCGGAAATTTCAAACTTTTCTTCTTATTGAAAAAAAAATGTCCTTTTTATTAGGTGTTAGGATTATATATATTTATATATGTGTGTGATTTCATAAGGCAAAAATGTCGCTTAAAAGTTATTCACTTCCCTTCACTTCAGTCACATATTACTCCTTTTATTAATCATTTACCCCAATCACAATCTCTGTTTTTTTTTCATCCTTTTCCCACAAATAAAAACTGGATCAAAACTATCATCGTTATTTAAGTGATAAATGAAACCTCAATCAGTAACAAAACACCAGTTCAACTGTCAACCTACATTCCCCTAATACAGTACAAAGGGAGACAAAGTTTAGCCAAAAGAAATAAATTAATATTTCAGGAATGGCAATCCCAAAAAGAAAAGAAAAAAAAAGGGAAATCTGGATCACAATTCCCAAAAACACACACACGTGTGCTTCCGCAGTAACCCCATTCTTTCTGCTCAGATGGGCAACACGCTAAATCCCGTGAGCAGCTAATGGATTAGATGGTGGATGGTACCCACAAGCTGTCTAATTTCGTTTTTGAGGCATAATTTTCCTTCTGTCCCACTTTCTCTCGGGTGTAACGAATTAACTTCGAGAGAACCGCACTCTTCCAACACGATTATTGATAGTAATTTTCTGCGTGGAACTCAATTCGCGGGGGCATGTTGCCCGGGCAATCGTCTAACAGGGTGGAATGGATACAAGGGAGTTTATGTACTTCAACAGAGATCGATTGGAGCGGGTTTCTATTGATACTGATATTCTGTTTGGCTGACCTTAGTGGATGTGCGTGTGAATAAAAAAGGGAAGGATTAGCTGTTGGGGACTTTGGGAGAAAAATATATTTTTTTAAAAGACATTTCACACACACACACATGCAGGTTATTTACAAAGTTGAAGGTTGTTGTCGTAAATGAGAGCTGTTTTAGAAGTGTAGTGAAAGCATACATTATTCATCCATAATTTAGTATTAGTTCGTTCGTATAGTGTGTATTTTGCTTAAATACTCGTAAATTATTCTTCCTATATCAGTGTTTCACAAACAGGTCCTTCTAGGAGGGGGGGTGCGTGATAATCTTACCAGGGCGGCGCGAGGATATCGAAAATAAAAGATTATTTAAAAATATATTAATTTGCCGAAAGGAAGCAAAAGAAAATACATTACGACATAATAAAAAATAAAATGCATATTTATATTAATATAATATACTTATATATGCATCATTACTGCACAATGTATTTCATCTTTAATTCATCAATACTAAGTTACGAACAAGTTTTATACTTACTATTGATCCCATGGGATTGTCATATACAAAATGATACACAAAATTTAATACTTATCTTGATAATTTGTACGGTTTTTTTTAATTAAAGTCGTATGGTAGCTTTGGCACCAAATAACATTATTATTGAATTCAATGCATCGTTATTGTATGGAAGGGGGGCGCAATGAAAATTATGATTGAAAATTGGGTCGCAAATATTGAAAATTCGAGAACCACTGTCGTATAGAATAAGGGTTTTTAATTTTTTTTTTCCAGGTCGGCATCGCTATGAATCTTACTATAAGATCTTACCTTTCCCCATTAGAATTCGAAAACTTTGCTGAAATATTACAGTGTGTGTACAGTATATTTCGATGCATAGTCGATAATTTTTGTAACATTTTTAAAATGAAAGCAAGGGGATCGGATTCACTAACAAAAACTTTTTTTTTTCCAATTCGACTTATATACAAGTTTTGAAATTTGGGTAAATTTTCGAAGAAAAATATATTTTCGGCTTGTAGATGGAACGACTTATATTCGGAAACTTACGGTAAAATATAAAGTAATTGTGTTAAAACATTTGTACCATTAAGATCTTTCTAAACATTGAAACAATGGGATTTGTCAAACAATTTTTACTGATATGCTGAAACAACTGGTTTTCTATATATCAGTAAAATTGAAAATAAAATATTGTTTTTTAACACGTTACACATAAAACTGAAAGAGAATGAATTGTGGAACATTTAAGTATAAAGAACTGTTTCCTATTCTTCTTTTCGAAACTCTTTTTCTTTTTTTTCGCACGTTTATTTAAAGACGATGTAAAGTCATATTTAATTATATATAGCTGTAATTACACGAACTTATTCAACCTGTTTAACTGCATTCAGCACTTTTTAAAGTCATTTCTTGTGAACAGTATTATGGAATAGAATAATTACCAACTATATATACTATCTAGCGTACAAAACTTAGCCAACAGATACATTTTTCAACTACAACGATGATATTGTTGAAAAGGACTTAGCGATCCTTACACTGATAAGGCAGATCAGTAAAAGAGGAATGCATATATAAATATCAGCAACATGAGACATCAGAAGGGATGTCACGGCACACAAACGCGTGAAATGAGCACGTTCAGTAAGTTAAAAAGAAGTCAGAAGCGCGCATTTCCAGATATTCCCTGAAAGTGAAGATGAAATCATATGTACATACATCATACGCTACAAGAGACTATCAGGATGCTTTTACACATGGTAGGGTGATCGTCAAGCTTGAAGAGGGCCAAAATATCACAATTTTGAGGCAAGAGTGTGAAATTGAAAAAAGTATTGTTTCAAGGGCTGGGAAAGTCCTGCAAATGTCATGTACAGCTATAAAAAAAGTTTAGTTGTTGTCAAACAATGGTCAGTTTTTGTCAATGTTGTTGAGAAAACAACGGCAAGTGATAGACCGGTGTGTCGTTTTGCAGGTGATAAGAGAGTTTAAATAGACAGTTGCTGTGTACGGTAGTCGGACGACAGGTATTACGGTTTTCTTTGGCCAGACGTCTGCATTAAGATAGCCTATTCGCCCATCATCCTGTGAATGTTGTCTACCATTAACAACAACCTATCGATAGCATCTTTTACAGTGGTGTCAAGAGCACAAAGACTGGGTATCTTATCAATTTAATCACGTTTTGTTCACTGGTGCGAGCCATTTCAGTCTGAGAAACAGTTCTCAGAAACAGTTGATATGGGGGAGATAGGGACACGGTTTAATCTCACTAACATCAGGGAAGAAACGGTAGGGGGTGGTTTTGGAATGCTTATGTGAAACGTTACATATATGGTCCTGGGATGTGAAATGGAGGAACAGAGTTTCATATTTTCCACAGCGGATCACTTCCTGGATTTCGTTACTACGACGAAATTATCCTCTTACACGGGCACTAGTTCCGAGGCACGATTAGTCCAAACTTTATTTTTGGGGAAGACAATGCATGTCTATATAGGACCGCAGCTATCAAGAAGCTCGAAGAAAATGAGGATATCTCCAGAATGGATTGGTCAGTGTGCTCCCTGATTTAAATATCATCGCACGTGTGTGGAATGGTTTGGGGAGATGCCGGATGCCAGATTGTATCCCTTGGAGCACCAGGCAGCTGAAACAGATGCTCGTTGAAGAGGGACAATTCTTACCTCTAGAATCGCTGGATAATTTGGTACTGAGTATTAACAGACGATGTCACACTACCAATGGAATATGGTAAGGTCATATCCTTTGGTTTGTTGTTTTTCCTAATGGTCAGGTAACATCTCTACTAACGCTGTTCTGTCAACAAAGCCTTTTCCGCTTTGTTCCATAATGTAGGCGCACAATTCAATTTTTGGCTTTCATCAACCTTTAAGTGCTACATTGAGCCTCCGTAGTGTGTACTTTATGCCACCCAGTTGAATTTTTTTCGGAATTATGGCATAATTTGAAAAGTAGCTTTACCCTTTCGTGGACCTTGAGAACGTTTTTTCCCACTTACATAATCTTACAAAATACTCCTGTGGGAAGTACACAATCCAGTATAATATATTGACCTTGAGAACGCTGAGAAGACTAATTCCTAACTAATTTTTTGTTCTCTTATTGACTTTGCCATTATAAATAGTGTCATACTGCGAAAAGTGAACAAAATAAACTTAAAGTTAGACCAGCATGTTGTGGTATCATCTACATAAGCCAGTAAAAGCTTCCGAACAGAATTGATCACTTTTGTCTAGAAGTATGTTACGTGTTCACGAATTCATAGGTACCGAGTTCTAACCACCACATTAGTGAGCTTGACTGAATTAGAAAATCGCAATCTACTGATTTGTCATGGTGCCCTCTACCCGCAAGAAAAGCAACCAAAAGTCGTCAGTGAGTGAGTTAGTGAGTTAATATTAACGTCGCACTGTTCAGCTACACGAGGGCTTTTGGCGACGGACCACGTAATTTTGAACCATGGGCAAGTGACGTGGACGACACCTGAGCTGGCACCCCCTCTCCTAACTACCACACCACACCAATGGGAGGACGTTTCAGCTCTCGACAGATTTAACGTGCATCGCTGCCCTACACGGCGGGTCTTTAGTGGTACTGGGATCGAACTCATGACATGCCTGCCATGGTTGGATACCTTAACCACTGGGCTACCGCAGCCCCCCAAAAGTCGTCAGACCCACTTGACGTAGGAAACAAAGTTGTCAGACTCACTTGACGCAACAACTTACACGCTACATACGCTCGCCATTAGTATCTCGTTCGTTCACATATCCACCGACTCACTGGTGGGGGAGTAGTGTAGCGGTATCATCCACA